ATATATATATATATATATATATATATATATATATATATATATATATATATATATATATATATATATATATATATATATATATATATATATATATATATGATTATATATATATATATATATATATATATATATATATATATATATATATATATATATATATATATATATATATATATATATATAGATAAACACAGTGGCAGATTAAGACTTCATGGGGCCTGGGGCTATTTTTGTTTTTAGAGGCCTTTTTATGGGCCAGAGCCTAAAAATGACTTAAAACAAAAAATAAAGGTCCTCTAAAATTTTTTGGAGCCCCTAAATTTGTGGGGCCTGCATTGTAATCTAAGGAAAAGGTATTTGTATTTGGTCCTCTAAAATTTTTGGGGGCCCCTAAATTTGCAGGGCCTAGGGCTATAGTCCCCCCTTGTCCCCCTTGATCCAGTACTGTATAAACATAAAACAGTTAAAACATCAAAAAAAAACTTTATTCATAATTTTTGCAATATTTTAAAAAATGTTCATAGTTTGAATGTGGTTGAAACAATTTCTCTCAACTGAAATTCTTTCCCCTGAAAACATTGCAAAAATCAATTTAACAAGAATGAAAAAAGTTTAAAACTGTTAGCTATTTCATTTTTTTGTATTGTAATCTAAGGAAAAGGTATTTGTATGCTATTTTGTTTTACTATTTATATTATTTTATTTTTTATCACTTACAATCTGTCAACAATTAGTTTGAAATAATTATTTATTAAAAATATTGCAATGAACTTAAATTGTTTATTACAATTTTTATTATTCAGTATTTAATAACAAGCCTATTTGTTTTATTCTCTTTTTATTATTATTTTTATTAGAGCTTTTATAATTATTATTTTTTTCTTAAAGCCTCTTTTTTGTATATAACCTTTTTATTGTGCTAGAAAAAGCAAAATGTAATTTTTTTTTAAAGTAACCATGACTAGTAATAATTACTCAGCAGAATTACCTGATACAACATCAAGTGATGGAGACCAAGATGATCAATTTGAAAAAAGGATTGAAGATACTGGATGTTCAAAAGAACATTATGATTTGCAGGTTTTTATATTTATTTATTTTTGAAAAATTAGCTTTCATAATTAAATAGAGTATGTATGGTGATATCTTTACAAAAAATATAGGATTGCTTTTATGAAACACATGACTGGAGAAAATGTTCAACATTTTTGCTAAACTTTAAGAAGTGCATGGATAAACAAAAGTGAGGTTTTATTATTATTATTATTATTATTGTTATTATTATTATTATTATTGATGCTATTATTATTATTGTGATTATTATTATTATTATTATTATTATTATTATTTATATTATTATTTACAATTATTTACAAATATTACTTTATAAAATATATATAATTTATTATTATAAATTATATATTTGCAATTAATTTACTTAATACAAAAACAAAATTTTTTGTTAAAACATTTGATTTTTTTTTTTTTTTTTCTTGTTACTATAATGTTTTTATTAACATTATTATACTTTGTTTTTAGGGTTATGATCAATAAAAAGGTGTAGCTGTGTTCTTTTTGTGTTGCTATGTTAATTAACAGATAATTTTCAAAATAATGCTGCTAATGAGCTGCTTGTGCAACAGAGCGTGTCTCCATGGTTTTTCTGCACAAATTGATTGTCTGAACACTTTATCTTAACCTTTTGATCAAACATTTTCCACCCTTCACCTGGAATTTTTTTTGTTTAATTAAGCAAAAATGTTATAAATAAAAAATAGAAATTTGATTAACATTAGAAAAATAAATTTCTACAATATTCCAAGTATGCCTTGTATTTTTTTCAATAGTTTCATACTTTCCGTTTGTTTTGCTTCTATGTTGAAGCAAACAAGTTTAACTAATGCACAACTTGTTAGTTTCATTGATAGATTCAATCTTTTTACAAACAATTGCTTAATGCACAAAAGTTAGAGGAAATAATATATAATTAGATTTATTCCAGATCAACTGGAATACTAAATTTTGAGTTTTTGTTTGATTAATTTTAGATCAACTGGATTCTTTTTGTTTGAGTTTTTTATGGGTTTTATAAATCTTTCTTCTGCGGATAATATTAGCCTATTAGATTTTCTTTTTTTTTTTTTTTTTTTTTTTTGAAATTTCAAATTGTAGCAGCTTGGTAGTTTTAGAATTTTTGCTCAATGGAAGAAAAATTTTTGTTCTGTGTCTGCGTAACAGCTGGAGACCATAAAGTTTATGGACCTGAGTGGAAAGAAGCAGAGCATGGAAAAACTTTAATTGATCTATTTGTGCAAGCTTGTGGAAATAAAATTCTCGGACAGCAAGTCCAAGTTCTTGTATCAAAGGATCGATCATTTTTAGAAGCTGCTGTTGTACAAGTATGCACACCACTCTCAACTTTGACTGAGAATTGTCAAAGTTATATACAGTTCATATTAAAAGCTGAAACATTCAAGGTAATCAAAATTAATGCTATTCTTGGGAGTTTTTTAAGGATTTATGATTTTTTAAATAAATTTATTGTATGTGTATATATTATATGTTATCATTATATATTATTTTGTGTTATTCCTGCCTTATTTTATTCAATGGAGATAAATCTCTGCTTTGGTAAAATATTTCATTGGCTTCGATTATTTACTACCCTCTCAGTCAATAAATTTTTATTCCAAACTTTCACTTCCCATAACAAAAGAGTTGAATTAAATGTTTAAGTATAGGTCTGGAAAATATCTGGCCCGGTAATTTTAAATTTTTTAATCATTTTTTTGATTGAAATGGCACATTTTTTATAAATATTTTATGCTTACCATTAAATAAAGTATTTGTTTAGTATTGTTTTTTTATAGAGTTTATTTGATCAGAAGTATGAACAGGTTTTTATGCAAGAAAAGGATTGTTCAAAAAAAATTGATTTGATGTAAGACCAACTAATTTGATAGCTACTTAACTAATGGATGTTTCAATACAATACTTATTTTTAATCTGTAACTTGGAAACTAAGTGGATGCTTTAATACAATACTTATTTTTAATCTGTAACTTGGAAACTTAGTTCTTAACTTATAATATTTATAACTTTCATAAATCAAAACAACTTTTTGTTCATAGAAGTGCATATACACATATTAAACCAAGTGTTCTTACAAACTGGAAAAATCAATTCAATTCTACATATGAACCCTTTAGAGAAAACTTGGCTCCACCATCACCAAAAGAAGTTTGGAATGAGCAAGTTGCAATTCATAACTTAACAACATGTTCTTCATTTGAAAATATGACTGTACAAGAAATTTGTGATGAAATTTGTAGGATCAAAACAACTGAGGTATTTGTTTCAACAATAAATTGTTGTTGTTATAGAAACAAATTAAAGTTCTCTTTTTGAATTAAAAGCAACATTTTTTTGCAGTAAATACTTTTATAGCAATTTTCATATTCTATTTATTACTATTTTAAAAGAACTGATCTGTAGTTTAGTGTAGCTTAATTCCAGGTGTTTAAGTGATGGTGTTAGTATTATCAGTGAAGATGGTGGTGTAACAGTGGTTGTGGTGTAAACAATAATGGGACTGATCTTAATTTTTGAATTGTTCATTTATTTATTTTTTTAATTTCTCAGTTGTTTTTTTTAGAAACTTAAAAACAAAGCACCATTACAGACATTAGGTGAGTTTTTGAATGTTATGAAATTTTTATAAATAAATGTATTTAAAAAGGAGATTTTATTGTTTTATTCTTCATTTAGGTCATTCTAACGAATTGGAGGTATCTTGTTGTAATTTATTACATTATTTATTAATTAAATTTTTAAAATTATTTTTAATAAAAAATAATTTTATTTTTTTAGATTAAATTAAAAAATTTGAATTAATTTTTTAAATTTAATTAAAAATTTAATTTTAATTTTTTTAAATAGATGCAATAGTTTAGCATCAAAATATTTAACATAGAAGTATATAACATGAAACAAAGTAACATAAATATTGCTTCTGTATTATATACTTCATGCTATATATTTGGAAATATTACTCATTGAGTATGCATATATAACATGAAAGTATGTACACATATACTAAAATATATTTTTTCAAAGTGTTGACTAATTAATACATATCTTTGAAATATCATTTGTTAAAGAGAACTTTTTAAATATTTTGCTTAACTTTTATTTTTGAGAATTAATTTTAAATTTTTTGTTGTTGTTCAAGGTAAGGTGTGACAACCAATCAAATGATTGTGATTTAATAAAAAACAATTCTCCATCTACTATAGAAAAATCTGCTGTCAAATGTGTGGAAAAGATTTCAAATAAAAGTCCCCTGACAAATACATCAAAACAAAATGTTAAAAGTTGTGTTTCTAAAAGTTTATCACCTAGACAACCTATTTCTGATCGTCTCTCTTTATTAGCTCAACCACGTAGGAGATTATTTAATGAGAAAGAATCAGACAACAAAACTCGCAGAAAGTCATTGTCATCTTCAAAAGAGAGTACTATTCCAGCAATAAATGATTTATTTAATGTTGCTTCAAAGTCTAAGAAATCTGATAAATCTTCAAATCGCAGAAGTACAGTTAATAGTACATTTATACGAGAACTGTCTCCTCAAGGTAATGAAAGTACTGCTAAAGACTACATTAAGAAAACTTTTTTGAACCAAAAAGGAAAATCAGTTAAAAATAATGTGAATAGTTTAACAAAAAATTTGAGTCTAACTGAGCTTGATAAAGACATTTTATATAGTAATATACATAATCCTCACTCCAAAGAAGAAAAATGTAAAAATAATTATCATAACTCAAATATAAAAGACACTTTAGATTCGGATGTTAATTTAATCGATTTTAACAATACTCCATCTAATAAAACTGTATTTCAGCCAAAACAGTACTCTTCTTCTGAAACAACTTCTTCCTCTGAAAAAGCTTTCACTCAAAATAGTTTGAAGAAAACATGTTCATCTCCGTCTTTATTGGAGAGCATTTCAATGGAAAAAGAAAGTTCCTCGCTTACCCCAGATTTGCTTGATTTTATTGGTTGTCAAGAATCTTTAAATGAGTCGAACAAAAATGTAGACGAATTAGTTTGGTCAAATTTTAGAGGCATTAAGTTCACTAAATCTGATGACCTCAATGCAACTTTTATTTTGGATAGAGAAAAGGAACTTGCAGGTATTCTAATTTTCAAAGAAATTTATATTGCATGCATCTCTATTTTTTATGTGTTGGTTTTTAAAAACTACTTTAATTTTTTGTTAATTTATTTATTTTTAATTTTTTTTTTGTTCATTATTTAATAGATCATAATATTCTCAAAGTATCAGATCCTAATATATCTCAACTATCTGATCATAGTAACTCCAAAATATCAGATCGTGTTATCTCCAAAATATCAGATCATAATGTCTCCCTTGAAGAAAAAGATTCATGTCTAACTACAAAACATAAATCAATTACATTACCACATAATCATCAGATGTCAAGTTCTTTAAGTTCAGCATTTGATAAGACCCAATGTCATAATCCTGAAACTACAAAAAATAACGAAATTGAACTTTCTATTGACTTGAAAAACGCAGCATTAGACGAAGCTAAAAATGTAAGTCTTCAGATTTTTGTTTAAGTTTTCTTTGTTTAAATTTTTTTTTTAAATTACCGAAAATGCTAGCTTTATTATTATTACTTTTTTCTGAGAAGAATTTCTTTAGGAGAATTTAATCTTGAACTTTAAACTCTCCCTTTTGTTAAGCACTTGATGTAAAAACCATTAAATTCAGGTTCCAAATATTAATTATTAAAAAAGTCACTAAAAACAACACGTATACAGGCTTGGGCAGAAATGGCGTGCGATCGAGCGCTATTGCTGACCACACAAATGATTTTATTTTTTGACAACTTTACCACGATTGTTTTATAAACAATGTTTATATGTTTTGATAAGTTAAAAACTTCAGGAATGTTCTGAATGTAGAAACGCTAAGCTAAACTTCAACTAGAAAAAAAAACTAATGAAAAAAAGAAACAAAAAACAAAATCATAACGAAAAAGTAATTATATAAGCACTAAAATGAAAATAAAAACTTAAACTCGAAGCAAAACTTTTTGTTACGTTTTTAATTACGTATGAAATAAACGTTATTAAAACTTATCTTTTTAAGCATTATTAAAGTTACGCAACAAATTACTACTAATGATTGGTTTAATAAAAAAACAAATTTTATTCAATTTATTAAAAAGTGTTATATATAATATTTTGAAATTGTATAAACATTTATTTTGTCAAAAAAATTGCAAAAAAAAAATTGTTTAAAAAAATAAAGTAGGCTTTTTAAAATAGTAATATTTACTAATTTCATGCTCTAATTAGTGAGTCCAATTAAAAAAAAAGGTTTTGAACTTTTTTATTTGTAAAAATAGAAAAAAATAAATAAATAAAATGCGCCTGCGATTTAAATAAAACAAGCTTTTTAATTTAATTTTAATTTAATTTTAATTTGAACATTACAACTTTATTAATAAGCGCTTCGCGTAACAAATTTAAAAATTATTATAAAAGATTTAATCTCATTTATTTTTAACAAAATTGAAAAAAAAAAATTGTTTACAAAAAATAAAATGTTTATCCAAAACATTTTAAAAAATCGTAAATTTAATCATAAAAATTAATCGTATGAACATTACAAAATGCTTTAAAACTTTTTCATTAAATCAACAAAATACATGCTTATATTAGTAAATAAAGTTATTTTATAGTTTTGTGTAATTCACATAAAATGTGTAAAAGTTAGTCGTCACAAAAGCTTTTGAACTTATTCATAAATTAAAGTAACTTAAAAAAAATTTTTCTAAAAATAATAGTTTAAAAATATTTTAGGAAGACATAAGAAATAGTTTCCAATGTTTAAATTTGTCATAAAAAATAAATGCCTACATAAAAAAAAACTTATTTATAATGTTTTTTATTAATTTACACAATCGTTTATGTAAACAATAACTATAATTAATTATATAGTTTTATTTAAAGCCTTAGCGTAAAATAAAAAACTTTAGAAAAGATTAACGATTAAAAGATATTTATAACATAACACTTTTTTTATTGCATTCAAATTGTTAAAACATCAAAAAAGCTGTGGTCAAATTGTAAAGAAATAAAAATATTAGCGTGGTCAGTTACAGAGTGCGATCGCACGCCATTCCTGTCCAAGCCTGGTATATATATATATATATATATATATATATATATATATATATATATATATATATATATATATATATATATATATATATATATATATATATATATATATATATATATATATATATATATGAGCCACTCAGAAGCCAATGCAATTAAGTCCATTTTTTGATGTTTTCTGATTTTTGGAAATTTTGATGAAATAATATTCTTCTTAGTTATCAAAGGATTTACTTGTTGGTTACTTTTTTCTAGGTTAGATAGCCATTTTTTAAATAGCTTCTGAATATATTGTATAATAATTTCAGAAGCCATTGTGAATAAATCCACCTTTTATCAATATTTTGTTACATAAACTTTTAAATAAAAATTAACTTATTCTTCTTCTTTTGCTATTTGTTGGTAACACTAAAAAACGAGAAATTCATAGTAACTGTAACCGTTACTTCTAATTACAATTGTTTGAGTTTTATGCATGTGCGTCAATAATATGTTGAAGCGTTTGCGAAAATTATTCTTTAATAACTGTAAAAACTATGACTTTTTAAAATAATAAAAAAGATTTATTGTAAGGGTATAAAAACTAAAAATGTCAATGGAAATAGAACACAGTGAAAGTGAAAGTGATACAATATTTCATCCTAATTCAAGGAGAGTTAACCGTATTGATTCTGATACATTGTCAGATAACGAAGATATAGAAAATAATAGTAAAGTTAGTAGAAAACACAGCAGGAATCCTGGGAAATGGTCTAGAAATGTTGAGAAACAAAAAAAAATACAAGGTAAACAATATCAAAATAGAAATAAAAAAATAATTTCTGTAAAGAAATTTGATAATAAACCTTGTAACTGTTTACAACTTTGTAATCGCAAGTTAACCTTTATATCAAAGAAAACAGGGTATGAAAATTTTTACAAACTTAATGATCATCATTAGCAAAATATTTTTTTAAGTGGGTTAATTAGAGTTCATGCTATCAAAAGATAACGACCCAGGAATAACACCAAAGGACCAAGATCTCAGTCTTTTGAATATTTTATTAGACTTAACGGCCAAGATGTTGATGTTTTCAACAAATATTTTATAGAAGCATATCAAATAAGTTATGGGCGACTATATAATTGCTGTTTAAAGAAAGATCTGAAGGACCACTGGGGGCAACATATTCCAGGTAACAAAATAGATGATTCCCATGTAAGAAAACATATAAGTTTCTTTCCTGCTATTTCAAGCCATTATACAAGAGTTCATAATTCCAGATGAAGATTTAATTTCAGACCTTTCTATTGCAAAAATGTATAACCTGTATGTTGAACAATGTAATGGAGAGCAAATTGTACCAGTAAAGGAAAAATTTTATTACCAAAATGCAGTTGAAGTTGAACTTGGCAAACACTTGCAAAATGCAGAAATTGCCTGCAATAGTATGGCTAATTATTGATTAAGAGCTTCAGACGAAATATACGTGTTGAGTTTTGATTTAGAAAAAGCATTACCATTTCAGAAACTATCCTCATCAGTGGCTTATTACAAGAGAAACTTATATGTATACAATTTTGGTTCCCATGATTTAAAGACTAACAAGGGCTACATGTATGTTTGGCCTATAACGCAAGCATCGCAGGGTTCACAAGAAGTGTCATTGTGTTTAACTAAACGTATTAAATTGTGCGAAAAGGATTTTCAAAAAAGTATAATGTATTCAGATTCATGTTCAGAACAGAATTGAAATATAAAAATTGTGTTAAGTTTACTGAAATTGGTTCATAGTGAAGATATAAAAGCTGAATCAAATGAGCTTAAACTTTTATTAAGTGGGCACAGTTATTTGCCAAATGATGCTGATTTTGCAGATATAGTTATTTGCCCAATGATTTATTTTGATAATTATAATAATATAAATTATTAATATTATAATATAATTTATTGTATATATAATTTATGATATAATTTAATAATATAATAATATAAATATTATAATTTATATAAATATATAATTTATTATAAATATTTATATAGCTTATTATAAATAATTTAATAATATAAATCATTAATATTATAATATAATTTATTATATATATAAATATAATTTAATATATATTTATTATATATATAAATATATAAATAATATTATAAATATTACAGTTATTTGCCCAATGATTTTGTAGATTATAGAAGCTTATGCAAAAAAAATTCCGTATATCGAAATGAATCCACAAGAATTTCTTTCCACAAAACCATTGGAAGAAGCTGTTACCAACAGAAAAAAATCTACAAGTAGACTAACAGTCAATTGGCTTAATATGAGATGGATAAAATTGGAAAGGTCAAACCCAAGCAGCATTAAGTTCAAATATAATTTTGACAAGGGTGATACCTTTCATGTAATTGATATAAAAAAATAAAAATAGGTAGGCCAGTAAATTTAAAAAATATAACTCAACCTATATTATATTCTAATGGCAGAACAATTTCAAGAGAAACATAAAAAGACATCATGTGTTTATTAAAGTATGTACCTCCAATTAAACACAACTTTTACAGGACATTAAGGACAACATGTGGAGATCAAGATTTGCATTTAAATAATTTGGAAGAAGATTATGTTTGCTGTGATGAAGAAAACTTATGACAATAAATATTGTTTTATTATTTTTACATCTTTTTCAGCTGCCAAAAGGTATAAGTCCTAAAATTTTTAAGATGCTGTCATTATTTCAATAAATACTTACGTTTTTATTTACAATCCTGTACATATCTAGTTTTTTTGCAGAGTTTACACCTCGAAAAAAGACTCGAAAAAATTATTTTTACACTTTTTTGATTAAATTAATAAATCAAGAATTTTAAAAACTAATGTATCAAATAACATTAATTTTCTCAATTTTTTTGTTTTGGACTTAACCGCAATGGCTTCTGAGTGGCTCATATATATATATATATATATATATATATATATATATATATATATATATATATATATATATATATATATATATATATATATATATATATATATATATATATATATATATATATATGTATATATATATATATATATATATATATATATATATATATATATATATATATATATATATATATATATATATATATATATATTTATGTATATATATATGTATATATATATATATATATATATATATATATATATATATATATATATATATATATATATGTTTATTAAATTAATAATAAAATAAATACAATATGATTTGAAACATAACTCAGAGTTTCACGCTTTATGCGATCATCAGACGTTACAAACAACCGTAACAACGTTACGTTGTAACGTCTGATGATCGCATAAAGCGTGAAACTCTGAGTTATGTTTCAAATCTAATTGTATTTATTTTATTATTAATTTAATACATATTTGCTCTACTTTTGTATTGAGCACTGTCTACCAAGAAATTACTTTTATTATTGATATATATATATATATATATATATATATATATATATATATATATATATATATATATATATATATATATATATATATATATATATATATATATATTATATATATATAATAGGGTGTCCCAAAAAACAAGGTTTTTGAAAAATATATGCTGAGGCCTTCTTAATGTTTTCTATATGTTAAAAAAAAACACTGATTTTAAAAAATTTTTTGAATAAAAAATATTTTAGAGGTCCCCCAAGACCCTTGAACATATTATGAGTTCCTAATATTATCAAAAAAAAAATCCTTCAAAAGTGTATCATGTTGGGTCTTAAATGAAGCGAAATTATATAAAAATTTTTAAAATGATAACTATATTAAATAAAAATAATTACGTTAGATTTAACAGCATAAAAAATAAAAATTATTAAACTAAAAAAAAAAAAATTCTTAGCAATTTTTTTGACAAAATTTTTTTTTCCAAAAATTTTTTCAAAACTTATTGAAAAAATAACATTGTTCCAAAACTTCAAGGATATTTTTAAAGGAGTTAATTTTTTTAATAAATAATTTTTTTTTAATTTACATTGATTTTGGCTTTTTTTTTAATTGATTTTCAGTATACATTGATATTGGCTTCTTTTACTTTTATTTTTTTCCTGTTTTTTTCTAGCAAAAAACAAAAGAATTTGCTAAAACACCAGAAAAGACACGTAAACACTGGGGTATAAATGTAGAGGTATTGTTTATAATAAATACTTGTGCATTCTGTACATTTTGTTTTTCGACTTACATCATTAAAGATATTGAGTTTTTAGTGTCTTAAAATAAATTAACAAAAAATAACAGTATTTCAAATTAGAATGTTCATTATTTAGGGAATTGACAATATTGTGGTATCTTCTCTGCAAGCGTTCTCCAATGAGCTTCGAGCAACAACAGAAATTGTTGCTAACAATATTCGGTATATATCTTTATTTTTCAACTTAGTCTAAACTAATTAACACACTATGTACCCAAACCATGATCAACTCTAAACTCATGTCCCTATAAAACTCTTTTGGGTGATGATAGCCCATATATAGTAGAACATTTAGATATAAATTTGGAAATCAAACTATTACATCAGAGAATGATATTTTAATTTTAAATTTTGAAGCCTAAAAAATAATAGGCCTAAAAAATTGCAAAATGACAGAGGTTTTTGCATTTTTAAACAACAAAATTCAGAAGCTTTTTTTTTATATTCTGGATGACTGGAGTCACATTTATATTGCTGTCAATGTATACTGAAGTTGTGATGCAAAGATTCTGTGGCCTGTTCAGAAAATACTCCTTGATCTTGTCTGCAAAGTTGGGATGTTATTTCCAAAGCAAGAATCCACAACCCTTTCAAAACATCTGAAAGTTTCAACAAATGGTATTTAATGAAGAGCTTTGTTCAGCCAGATTTTGTAGAACATCTTCAATAGCTTTTGACAATCATTTCCAGCAAATTCCCCCATAAAAAAGCCTGTTCCAGAATATGAAGAGTAGCAGGCCATTGATTGGCATCAGGCCATGTTTGACACAAGTTTTTGTGTCAAACATCAAACATTTTGAGATGATTTACTACTCCAAGAAGAAGTAGCTCCATTGTAGGGATAAAGTCCAATAAGAGTGTTTGATTGTTCAAGCAAATAATTGGTTTTTGAGCAACATTATTGAACACTTTTGCTCTTCTCAAAATTGACCCACTCCTTTGAAATGCATCAAAGCCAGCTTGAATGGAACCAAATGTTCTGGGTTTCCCGCAGATGCGAAGATTTTTTGAATCTGCATCACACCATGTACAAGGGTGAGCACTGGCATGAGACTGAAGTCCAGTTATAAGATTTGCTACTTTCATGCCAAATGAAATAACAAAAGAAATATTCTGCAACTGGAGCAAATTCAAAACGCTTTTCAAGTTTTCATAACTCTTTGTTATGTTTTCAGAAACAGCAATTAATAACAGGCGTTTCGCACCTGTCTTTTGTAACACGCTTTAAGGGAAAAGAAGAATCCTCTCTGTTTGCTTCAATAACTCCCAAGGAAACTTTCAAAAAGCCACCTCCACCATCAATTCCCGCTTTGATCAATGGTTTTCCAGGAATATTTTTGACTTTTAAAACATGGTTGACTATATCAGACACATCTTTGTAGTAAACAACAATACTGGTTGAATCTTGTTGAGTCTTGAATGTGGTTTGAAGTGAACTGTTCTGCAAGTGTCCTTTCAAGTGACTCAAACTTGATGAGAAGTGGCTTGATTTAGTGATAATGCAAGTTTTTTCATGCCACGATTAGAAAGTCCAGTTTCATTTTGAAATTTGAGCATATCTATAGCTGTAAAAATTTTTTCCTCAGGTTAGAGTTCTCACGCCTTGGATGGTCCTAAGAAAAGCCTATGCTATTAGACACAAGGGATTAATACTTATGTTTAAAACTGTATCATACCTGGAACAACTCGAAAATTGTTGCCTCCTTTTTCTTGACTGAGATGGATAGTGCCATGAGGAGCAGGAGGTTTGTTTGAGATGACCATAGTTGCAACCATCTCTGCAGCCACTGCACCCAACTTTTGTTGCATGGTTCCTTTTATACAATTGTGGGGCAGCCCTCACCTAATCACAGAAAAACAGTCTGAATATCGTTTTTCAATGCTTCCTTCGTTCTTAGGTTAACTTGCTGACAGTGGATGTGGAATGTTCAGCTTATTTCTGGCAATTTGACAGATTAAACAATCACAAGGAGATTCTCTGGTAGCTGGTCGAATCGAGATGCTCTTAAAATCATAAAGGTTAGGAAGAGGAGGATTTTCACGTTCATCTTTTCTTCTGATGGCAACACGATATCTTTCACAAATACCTGAAGGAATCCTGTTATCAGAAAAATCCAGCTCAACTTTGAGAACTTTGTCAATCTGAAAAGTTGTTAGCTCACGATTTCCCTTCTGAAGACACAAAAAACAAACAGCTATTCTATGTTCTTTGTGGTCTTTAGCTTTGTTAGGCATTTTTGCAACTTATACGTTCTAGTGTGTTGTGAAAAAAAAAAAAAATTTTTTTAAATGCATTTTTTTTCCCAGAAATTAAAAAAAACAATTGCCACAAAAATAAGACATTATTATTTTAAGGTATTTGTTTTGAGAATGATAAAAACAACCAAAATAATTTTCAGAAACACTAATGTTTTCACTGAAAATTACTTCTAGATGTTTTCCCCATAACCAACTTGAGTAATAAGTTCTGTAAAAAAGCAAAACCCCCTGTCATTCCTCAATTTTTTAGGCCTATTAGCTTCAAAATTTAAAATCAAAATATCTTTCTTGGACGTAATAGTTTAATTTCCAAATTTATATCTAAATGTTCTACTATATATGGGCTATCATCCCCTTAACGGGTTTTCTGGAGACATAAGTTTAGGGTTGATCATGGTTTGGGTACACAGTGAACATTAATAAAATCAATGGAAAAATTTATTGCACAACGTTTGTTTATAAAACATCATTTTGTGTTAAAGGATTTATTTTAAGTAACTTAACTGTGATGAAGAATAAGAAACAATGACGAAGAATAAAAAACAATCATCAAGATTTATTGAAATAATATAATTTTATTTGAAATAAAAATAAGCATAATTAATGCTTTAAGTCTTTCAAAGATTTTTTTTGAACTGTTGCTAATGTTCCAAACAACACCGGTTTCTTTAAAAACTAAAAAGAACTAAAAAGTTTTTTTTTTTTTGTAACATTTTTTTTTTAATATTATTTGTTTGTTTAAGTTATTTTCCATAACAAAATGATATTTCTAGTTCTTTAAGTATGTTTTAAAAATAGTGGACTGTTTTAAATCTAAAAAAACAATTTAGTCCTAATAAACTTGGTAATCTAATTATTTTTGATGATAATAAAATAACTATTTTAGGCAACTAGCTAGTTAGATTGCACATTGGCAGAAATCTTAATTTTTCTACTTTATCAAAACAAACATCATCTGCTATTTTAACACTCTCCCAAGCAATGTTTATAGATGAATGCTTATTGAAAAAGGATGTTTAGAAGGGTTACTTCATGACTTCAAAGTGACTCTATTTGTATGTGCTTACTTCATGACTTCAAAGTGACTGTATAGAGCGTAGATTTACCTTGATAACGACAAATGAGTGGTGGGGGATTTCTAGTAAGCTTACTAGAAGTTCAACATTTAGAAGATATTTTAGCATGTCAAACTTAAATTAAGAAGAGTTTTAAATTTTTGGGAGAAAGATTTAAAGAACAAATATGATAACCCAATTAATAATACTAATAACATTAGATTTAAACTCAAATGAGATATCTGAATTAAGTTTTTCATTTAAAACAAAAGAAGTTAAAGAAGAAGAAGTTGCAACAACAAGAAGACAACAACAGAAGAAGTTGCAACAACAAGAAGACAACAACAGAAGAAGTTGCAACAACAAGAAAACAACAACAGAAAAAGTTGCAACAACAAGAAGACAACAACAGAAGAAGTTGCAACAACAATTGTTGGTTATATAGCAAAGAAATTAATAAAAAAAAGCAAATGCAAAGCCATTGCAAATTTATGTTTGTTACAGATGCAAAAAATATAAATATTTGTTTGTATCTACAGTTTCACAATGTGGTCTTGAGAAGAAAAAAAAATGAACCTTTTCTGCATAGGTTAAGCTTAAAAAAGATTTATAAAATGGTTTTTTTTTTCTTACATGCATAACTTTGATAGCTGAGTGGTTTTGTGCACTATCAATGGTATCGTTTTGTGAGGTTTTAAATCCGCTCTTTCATACAATACATATTAAATATGTATTGTATGAATATAATCTGACCATATATATTTAAAGCAAAAAAAAATATATAGCAAATCAGACTTTTTTTGCTAAGTACAGGCTTTTTTTTTTTTTTTTTTTTGCCTCCATCACAGCACCTTCTAGAGTAACAGGACGTGTTTATTATATTTTTTCTTTATTTTTTATTTACTAAGTTTCAGATCATCCGCAGCTTATTAGGACTAATTACCTAAGCACAATAATAATATAGTTAAATTTTAAGTTTTTTTTTAAAAACCTCTTCCTTTTGTTTGGTTACAGTATATAATCTTTATAAATGTTAGGTATATAATATCTATAAAACTTCAAAAGTGTTTTATTTTATATTTTAAAAAATCAAAAAAGATTAAAAAAAAAATGGCAACAATAGTAGGCTTTAAACCATGGCACTTTACATGGAAGTTTATATTTAATAACTTAGATATTTGCATACACTTTCGTTCACAATTTCGTATAAAAAAAAAGCTGCGACTCTTTCTCTCTTTTTCTCGTTATCTCCTTGGCTGCAATGGCTGCCAAGAGTTCTGTATCAAACATGCTCAAAATAGCACTACTACTATTAATTTTAACATTATTATTAGTGATACCAATACCACTTTTTTGGCCAATACCAACGCCGATGAATTAACTAATTATTAAAATTTTGAAAATATAGAACCATACAACTTTAAATCATGTAATCTTTTTCATGGAATCAGTACTGGTAAACAAATATTTGGACCCAAATCAGAGCTGAACCATCTAAAACCAATTAAAACCATTTAAAAACCATTTAAAAAAATTTTACCATTTAAACCATTTAAAACCATTTAAAAAAATATTAGAAAATCTCAGTTAAAAAAATATGCATTTCTTAGTTTTTTTTTACTATGAAAACAAAAACTCTCGAAAAAATAAATGCAATTTTAGAGAAATGCTTTTTATTTCAATTTTAAAAAGAAACTGCCTTATTCAGGGGTGCATCTTCCATTGTTGTCTTTTCTCTTTTAGACAAGGTGCAAAAACGAATTGTAAACATAATTGGACCTGCTCTTGCAGCCAACCTCTAGTACCGCACTCAACTTGTTTCCTGCGCAGCGGCCTTGTTTGTCTAAGTTTGTGTTACGAAGTTATAAAGTTGAGAGAGGGTGGTAACCATAACTAAAATAGCCTCCTCAACTGGAGTAGCCTTCATTACTTTGGGGAGGTAAGTTGAAATAAAAATAAATAAAATATAGAAATATAGAAAGGCTATATTTGAACACATATGAATAAAAATACTTAAATAGGTTACTTTTAAGTATAACAATGGAACACCACAATTTAAAATTATTCTAAAAACAATAATAATAGTATAATAAAAGTAAAAGTACATTCAGCGGTTAAACCTCAAAAAAATTCTAACTAATACATAAAGTTTATTTTATTTATTATTTGATTATCATCATAATGCAGGATAAAAATATTAAAATGTCGATTAAGCTGATGTTGATGCTGATTAATCGGTACATCACTAATTATTATATAGATACTATTTATTTAGTTCAGATGAGATATAATAATATGTTTTCCTAATAGTTGTGCAACCGTAGTTTTTTCATAAATAGGCCATTTAATGGAACAAATTAATGTTCCATTAAATAAAACATTAATTTGTTTTGAACCGGAGCATTTTTTTGAAAAGGACTCCCAGAAGTTCTTGAAGTCCTTGTTATGTGCTTCTTGTGCCTCCTCACTGAGCATGTCGATTGGCAAAGCAATCCAACCCACAACTTGCCACCTATGAATAAGAGTTTAGTGTAGGCTCTGTAGCATGTGGTATCGTGGATACTGGTCTCTAAACCGAGATGAATCAATAACATATCCTGATGATGTACACAAAATAACATGATAGTGTACACAAAATTACATGCAACATATTAATGATGCTGACATCTAGTTGGAGAATTTCAGCAGTCTTCTCTGCATTTTGAAAGATAAATTTTTATTTCATAGCAGTATTGCCATTGTTTGAAAATCCTGAACCACAAGACCTAAGAAAACCAATTAAAAGCCTAACTTCATTGCAAAATTTCTTTTGAATTGATGCTTTTCTATCTTGAATTTTTTTTTTCTGACAGTTCTTGTGTAGTTCACTTCTTTATTGTTAATTAAGAAGGCATTCCATAGTTTTGATCTAAACATCGTTAGTTGAAAGCCCATAATTGAGTCCAGTTTTAGTAATTGGAAAATATTTTGCAGTATTTAAGACATTCATTTTTGGTTGATTGCAACCGCAAACTGAGCAGCATTGTGATGATTTTGTTACCATGGATTTTGCTACGGCAATCCCATCCACCATTGTATTTTCAATTTTGTGAAAAACGTTAAATTTTTCATAATTTGTAGTAAATAATTTTTCCATTGTGTTGCGAAGGAATTGTTCTACTTCTTTCAATACATCTGTTTCTTTTTCATAGGAGAATTTTATTGGCCTAATAAGTCTAAATAAAGTGGATGATGGATGAGGGTTGGATCAAATAATCTTTTCACATTTACTATATCCAGATAACTGCAAAGGCACAAAGCAAGTGAGGAATAAGCTGGCTTCATCTGTAATATTTCTGTTTCCTTTTCCCGTTGTTAATTGAGTATAAAGACTTTGGCCAGTTGATCCATCATAGCCAACTTTGAAGATCTTAGGAGTTAGTAACTTCTGCCTGGCATTTTATCAAATGTAGTGCTGTGTGATTGACCAATGCTTACATGTTGACTTTTGCAGCATATTTAGTGACAGTGGATATGTTACATTCTGTAAGACAAAGTTTTTTTGCTTTCCATACATTCTTCTAAGCTGGATATAAATTACAACCTTTTTTTACAGCATTGTTCCTTAACAGACTTTCTCATATTATTATCTAAGATGAGTGCCATAGCTTCATTGGGAGTATTTTGAGCATGTTCATAAGTTTGAACTTTTGATAAATTTTCAACTGCACTATCATCTTTTCTTCTTTTTTTCCAAAGTTTGCAACTGATAGCAAACAGCTCATTTCAAGAGCTTGCCTATGATTCAAGTTCTGCCATTTTCCACTCTTTAGATTTATCAGATGATTCCTCAAATGATTTATGAGGCCTGCCAATAGATAATTTAGGTGTAGTTTATGTATTGCATAATGAAAAAGTTTTTTGGGGAATAATAAAGTCTTTGCAAAGCCAGGCGAAATTTTTCTCCATAAATTTATCATTGTATCGTCCACTTGCAGCCAATCGTTTATTGTATTCAAAGATAAATTTTGACAATTGAATCTTAAATTTAGTATTTCAAAGTTGTTCACCAATAAAATTATAAACTACCAGTTTATCTTTTTCATTAGATATTGATAATTTGTTTTCTCTTATAAATAAATGAATTTGATTTCTATTAATGCTTGACATTTTTTTTTTTTTAATTATAATTCACCTCCTCAAGGCCGAGAAGGCCACTACAGACGAGGAGGCTACTTATTTGTGGTTATAACCCTCTCTCAACTCTATAACTCCGAAACACGAACCTTGACGAGCAAGGCCGCTGCGCAGAGAAACGAGTTGAGCGCGGTACTACCAGGGACGTGGTGGGGATCGAACTCGAAATAACATAATAACAATAGTCTAAAATAAAAAATAAAATAGTTTAACTACATAATTCAGATAGGTTTATAGTTATTCATGTTGAAATATTTTTTTTAGTTATTAAAATGTTAACTAAATAGTCTAATTTTTGTATCAAAGTATTCATTAATTCTAAACTTACTGTATTATTTTGCCCACGATGTGATATTTAGTATGCAATATTTTTGCAAATCAATACAAATAAAAATAAATAAAGCAACTACTAGCAGCTGAATTAAAAATATTGTGAAATATGTATATAAATGGCTTCAAAATATGTATATAATATAACAGGATATTACAAGACCTACTACTTTTTGTATTTTTTAAACCAAAAATTATACTTCAATTTTTTTTTTTATAGAGTATTTAAAATTATTATAACTTATTTGTTTGCTTACCTATTTTAATTTAACTACTCTTAAAATGCAGAATAAATAGTTCAACAATAAATAGTTTTAAATGTACAATATTTGATAAAATTCTAAATTATAACTATAGATTTTGTAAACCAAAATTTTTTATCAATTTTTTCATCATTAAAAATTCTATATTGCTGCACTTTAACCGTTTATCCATTCATATTCTAATTGTATGTTAACTATAAAATAGTGATATTTAGTATATTAATAATGATTTAAAACAAGTTTAACGTGAAAAATCAGACTTCAGTTTTTTTACTTTTGTCCAGTCACTGGCCCGCTGTGTAGCCACTGAGAGTCCCATGCTTTTGCAGATCTTGCTGCCCCATGCTGTAGTGAGATCTTTTTCAAGCTCAAACGTCTTTTCCAAGCAATCAGTGAGTGTTGGCTTCTTATCAAGAATAAATGGTAATATCATCGGCAAACAATGTCACCTTAGATATATATTTTTTTTAGTTAATTCACCTCCCCAATGTTGAAAAAGCCACTATAGACGAGGAGGCTACTTAATTGTGGTTATAACCCTTTCTTATCTCTATAACTCCAAGACACGAACTTTGTCAAAAAAGGCGGGTGCGCGGATAAACAAGTTGAAACAAGATATGCGAATTTCTGGGAGATTTTTAATATAAATTAAAAAAACTGTAGGGCTAAGGATAAAACCTGGAGGAACCCCTGAAGTTACAGGATATGAATATATATATATAATAAAATATACATAGTAAAACAAAAACAAGTTGTTTCATCTCTGTTTGAACTCTTACAAATTTCCATATTTAATCTTTTATAAAAGTTGTTTTCAGGCTTTTTTAGTAATAATATAAATAGCAATTTAAATAAACATAATAATAAAATTAAAAACAATACAAATAGTAATTTGTGAGAAGAAAATTTAACACAAATCTAAAATGTTCTAAGATCAATAATAATTTCTGTGTATATATTAATTTATGTGTTTATATTACATTTCTGATCATTTAATTTGATGAGTTTACTTTTTTTGTTTTTAGGTCTTTGTATGAAGACTGGAGACTAAAGAATGAAGGTGAAACTATTACAGATGAACTGCAATCGCTTATTTTAAAAAAGACATCAAAAAACTCAGACACCAATGCTAAACAAGTGGTAAATGTTTTTTAATACTTTTAGTTCATAATATATCTCACTATAATTTTTTTTTAACACTTTGGAAAGTATATAATTGGGCTCGCTAGTTTTTATATTCCTGGATGAAATTTTTTATGAATTGTAGTATTTTAAAATTGTACATTTTGGAGGACAAGTATCACCAAGAAATGCTTGTTTTTAAAGTTCATTTATTTACACGCTTTAAGATGAATCTCCACTTTAATCTTGCTGGATCAATATATGAACAGGTTATGCAGTATTCAATGAGTTATAATTTATAAAATTTTGTTTGATTTTATTTCTATTTTTGGAAATAAAATCAAACAAAAGTTTATAAATTATAGCTCCCAACTTAAGTACAACAAAGTTGTACTAAAGTTGGGTGCTATAATTTATAAACTTTTAAGTTAGAAGCCAACCCAACTTAAGTACAACAAAGTACAAGTACAACAACTTAGTACCCAATAGTAGCGTAATAAGGAAATTAATAAACATTTTTTTGTTATGAATATGTAAAATTTTGCAAATAATTTGACAAGAGAATTTATTTCATAATATTTTCTTAAAATATTGACATTAAATAATGAGGCAATATTAACACACCGTTTTTTTAGTATACCCTATATTATAAAGTAAATGTTGAAAAACTTAAAATAGCAATTCCATATAATTCATTCTTATTTACTCTCAATCTAGAAGCAAACTCATTTGTACTTCCAAATAACAGGTTGAATTTAATAATAGATTTAATAAGATTGTTTCCTATTTTCCTATTTATACTTTTGTTTCTTCCTTATGCTTTTTTGTACTTACTTTTTTCATACTGTTGTTACTTTTTTATATTTCTTTTTTTCATACTTCTGAGTCTTCTTCATACTTTTTTGTATTTTTTCTTCATACTTCTGTTTGTATGAGAAGCAATGTAAATGGCATTCAAGAATCATTATTTAAACATACAGTGAGAATAAAATTTAATTATCCAAATTATCCACCTTTGAATAAAGTATTGCATCCATGCACTAATTATAAATAACTATTTTTTTCTCAGATTTTTTATTTGGTAAAAAACCTTTATAAAAATTGTAAAATTTTTGTTTACATTTTCAAATTACCTAATTAAAAATTCAAAACTAAAAGAATGGACTAAAAATATTTGCACAAAGAATAATTGTACAAGGAAAGCATATAGGTTGAACCTAAGAAAAAAAAATTATTATTTATATATTACAATTACACTAAATATTATTATATTAATAAATATTATTAAAAAAACTGACAAAAATCTTTTTTCTATTTTATTAAAAAACTTTAATATTCAGTTGGTCCTCCTTTTTCTTTAATTGCATCTATCCAGTGATCCAGTTTTAGCATTGATTCTACTGAACTTTTTGGTTTGACTATTGTTAATCTTAGACCAGACTTAATAACAACTTTTTTTGATTCTTCTTTTTTTCATAAATGAACTTTTACCAATTTTTTATCTAATAAAGTTCATAAATGCTCTATTGGGCTCAAATCTCTGTGATGGCCATTTTTAAACCTTTATGCCATTTTTATTAAGAAAAGGCTTTTGTTTTTTAAACAGTGTGTTTCAGACCATTGTCTTGTTGAAATAAAAAGTTGTAAAAAAAAAAAGTTTTTTAGCAGAAGATTTTAAATTTCCATTTTTTATATTTTTCAAAAAGTTGAAACTCATAGTTTCATCAATAAATTCAAATTTACCAACACTATTTCATGCTATACAACTCTATAACATTACACTTTCACCACCATGTTAAACTGCTCCTCCTGTGCAACTTAAATGAAAAGCTTCACCCCTCATTCACCAAACTCTCTGCGCACCATCAGATTTATTTAAGTTAAACTTGGATTTATTGGACCAAAGATCTTTATTCCAAAATAATAATGGCATCAAGTTATACCTTTTTGAAAAATTATTCTTTTTTTCATATGGTTTTTTTGTTAGAAATGGTTTTTTCCGAGCTATACACTCACTAAACCCTGCTTTATGAATTTGATGTAACTGAAATTGTGTTTCCTGTAAAGTTTTTAGATGATTTTGCGTTTTAAAATCTATTTTTTTCAATCATGCTTACTCTTTCTTTGTTGTTGAAATTTAGTTTTTTCCGCAAAGTATTGAAACAGCTAATGTAATAAAAACTTGCAAATGACCATGCCATGAAGTTGTCTATTTAAAAAACTTTTTTGTGGACAGACGAAATGAAAAATTGAATGCGTATCCTGGGAAAGCTTTTCAATCATTTTTAAAATTTCTCTATCATCTCTTTAAGTTGTTTTTTGCTCTTTCCTTGTCTAATACAAATTTTGAATTTCTACTGTTTGTTTTGCTTCTACTATTATATGGGGAATATTAGTAAGTTCTTGAACATTTCTATAAATAATTCTTTATTTAACCAAGTTTATAACAAGTTTTCGTTGATTAGTATTTAAATATTTACTTTTAGACACAATCTTGTTTGAAAAACAAAGTTTCAAATATCTTTATATTAAAAATTAATTAATTGCTGTGTGTGTGTGTGTGTATATATATATATATATATATATATATATATATATATATATATATATATATATATATATATATATATATATATATATATATATATATATATATAAAAATATGTATGTATATAAAAATATGTATCTATATATATATATATATATATATATATATATATATATATATATATATATATATATATTTATATGTATGTATATACAACCCTCGGAATTAAGAAAATTATTGCCGACCTCTCTCGTAATTAAGAAAATTATTGCTGACCTCTAAAAAATTGAGGTTGGCAATAATTTGCTGACCTGAATCTTTTAGAGGTCGGCATCAGATCGGCAAATAAAAGATGCTTCAGTTGCACAGAAAAAAAAATGATCTATATATTAGAGGGCATAAAATTAAAACTGTCACAAAGGAAACTAACACAATGTCATTAGGGAAACTTACCATGGGCAAATTAATTGATGGCGAATTGAAGATTCCGTAAAAAAATTATGGTCTTTAAATTTTTAGTTTCTTAAAAAACCGTGAACTCAGTTTTTATGAATCTTAAAAATCAATTATAACTTATTTAATTAAGGCTTTCATAACTTACATGTTTAAAATAATACTTTTATATACCAACCATTAATCTAGCTAGATTAACCACTGTATTATGTATTTACATAGCAAGGTAAATACAAATACAGGAAAAGAAAAAGCAAATACAGGATTCAAATAATTTTATATGACAAAAATTTAAGGAAATATAACTAAGTTAAATAAAGTACATTAAATATCAACTACATCAAACTTTGATGTAGTTGATATTTATGTATGTAACTTTGATGATCAAAGCTACATCAAACCACCAACAACATCACACTACGATCTCTATTATAATTTTGATTGGTTGATTCTAAATATTAGGCACGTTTTTTTAGAAACTTGAAACTTGACAAATAAGAGTGGAAAAACCTGGATTGCAATCTCTGATTTTATATTCCTTTCTATAATAAAATATAGTAATGTTTTAAAAAAAAAATTATTTTATGTTAAAACTTTTGTCATAGAAATATAAAGAAATTTTTCTGTCAAAGCATCCCTCTTCTTTTAATTAGTACCGTAGCATAGGAGGGCAGAGCACTCCCTCAAACCTGTCATTACGGCCCCAAAATTTTAAAAACCTTAGATTATTAGGTATTACTAAAAAAAAAAATAGATCCTCAAATTTTTTAAAGGGCCCTCTAAAATTTGAAAAAAGGTCCCTAATTTTGCTGCTTTTCCCCTCCCCCTTACTGGATTAAGGAAGCTGTGAGGGCAGCCTAGTAATGGCTCTGCTTTTAAAAAATTTCTATAATTAAAACATTCCAACGTCTTAAGGCAATTATTTTTATAAATAATGTAGACTTAAAAATGTCTTCAGGTAATTATATTTAAATGCGTCCCACTGTTAGAATCCAACTCAGTTAGCAACATTTAACTTTAGCTTTCAAAATTGGCTAGAAATAAAAAATAAATAATCAAAAAAATAAATAGTTATTCTACGAATAAAATTACACACGGGCATTAGGGGGCCATTGTGGCTCAAAAAGTATGGGGCATGGGCATTTTTTTGCAGGCCCTACCTTGGCTGAAAATACGCTCCATGTAATGCCAAGTTGGCTCAAAATTTTTTTTTCTCCCTCTTTTTTCTTATCGGCCCTTATACATAGCATAAGCAAGTTTTTATGTTTTAATATGAGATTCATATAGCAAGCAATATGAATCTCATATTAAAACATAAAAAAATTCTCTATTTTGTGGATTGCCCTGGATCTCTGTCAATTAAAAAAGACAACATAAGAAGTCATTGCAACAGTAAACAACATAAAGAAGCACATCTCATTAATTATGGAGTAAATCAGGTGCGGAAAGTTTTAATGAATGTATAAATAAAAACACTGATATTAAAAAAGGACTACAAAAATTGGGTGAAAAAAAATGTGACTCACTTAATAAGAAATTCAATGCAGTTTATTACTTAGTAAAAAAAAAATGTCTATTTTCTGATTTCCCTGATTTGCTAGAGCTAATTAAAAAAAAAGTTGTTGATCTTGGTATTAGTTAATCAACTAATTAGTAAAATTGCTAAAGATTCTTTCAGAGATGGTTTTGTAAAGTTGAGATATTATTCAATTTTATATGATGGCAGTTGTGATAATGCTACACTCGAACAGGAATTAGTATATGTGTTGTATTTGTTTAAGGGCAGTCCATGCATTAAACTTTTGTTGGTTGAAAGCCCTGACAGTGGTAATGCCTGTCGTTTATAAATATGTCTAGAACAAGCATTTGCAAGAGTTGGAATAAATGACATGACTAAAAAACTGTTAGGGTTAAACATAGACAGAGTTAGCGTAAATCTTGGTGTTCATTCAGGTTTAGGAGCATTACTAAAAAAAAAATCTCCATGGCTTCAAGTAATAAATTGTTTTAACCATTGTCTCTAGCTTGCATTTAAAGATGCTTTTGAAAAATGTACTGCATTTGAAAATTATGAAAACTTCTTACTAAAGTTACATTGTCTTTATGAACAATTACCAAAACGTTTATGAAAATTGAAATTTTTATCAGAAGCTTGGGAAAAATCCATTCCTAAACCAGCAAAATTATATGGTACTTGTTGGCTGGATCATAAGTTTAATGCAATGAAAATAGCTTTAGATAATTATGGTGCATATATTTCTCATATAAAGTCTCTTAGCCAAACAGATTCTTAGCCGTTGAAAAAAGCCAAATTAATAGGGTTTTTAAAAGTTTTAAAAAATTCATCTCTTGTAATACATTTATCTGTTTATCTAGATGTTCTTGCACCATTGAGACGATTGAGTGTTGGTTTCCAGCAAAATTTGCATGATCCTGTAAAAGCTGTTCGCAGGGTGCAGCAATTTAATTGGACAATGGAAAAACTTAAAGTTCTCTTAAATAGTTCGTTAGGCAATATTTCAACTGAGCAAACTATTTTAACAAACTACAAAAAATTAATTGAAAGTATAGTCAAAAAAGATGGCAATTTTATTTACTAAAACATTCCTTTAGAAAATTTTAATAAAACTAATGCATTGGTACAACACATTTATACTGATATAATGAATAGTTTAACAACAAGTATGGATTTACGTTTTAAAGATATTTAGGTATCTCCTTTATTTTGTAATTTAATTTTTCTTTTGGACCTTTTTTTTAGCCAATGAACCCTGAGGTTACATTTGATGATAAAGAAATAGTAGAAGTGGTCTCACATTTTAAAGACCTCTTAAAAAATGGGGGGTGTGAAACTGATGAAATTTTTATTGAGTGGATTGTTTTAAAAAGTTATACATTTCTAATGTTAAAAAATTCATTAGGTGAATACTATTTAAAAACGTGGAAAAAAATATTTACATCAGATATAATTATTGCTTAATTTTTGCTAAATGCAGAAATGTGTTGGACGTTTTGAGTTGCTTTTACTTTGTCCATTTACAAATGCTAAAGTAGAACGTATGTTTTCCTGTATTAACAGAGTAAAATTGGATTGGAGAAACAAACTACTGCATGATTGTCTTAAATCTCTTTTAGGTGAAGAAGGATGCAGCATCAAGAAATTTTCCTCAAACCCTGCTTTGGATGCATGGTATAAAGATAAAATAAGAAGATTATCTGCTGCTCCTCATCGCCATCCAAAAAAACAAAAAAATCTGCAGATGCAAATTGTATCGACCTTTCTCTATCAACAATATCAAATTTAAAAAGAGAATAATAAAGAGTGATAGTGGTAACTCCGATGTATAAACTTATTTTGCAATATTTTTTTAAATAAAATTTGTATTGATTTATTACAAGTCTATTATTTAATTATGTTTTATATTCCAAACTGTCATCGAAATGCGCTTTAAAGTTGTTAAAAACATTAAAGTCATTAAAGATAAAATATATGTGTATATGGTTTGGCAAAATAGTAATTGTTACTTTTTATATTTGGAGAATTTTAAGCCACAACTTTTTTTTTAATGTCATTTCTTTTTTATTCATAATAAATTACATAAATAAATAATAATATAAATAATTTATAATAAAAAAAAAAAGAAAGGCGTTACTTATTTTTACAAACTATTTTATAATATATATATTTATCTTAGCACAATACTTTTATAATTTACTTGTTTTATTTTATAAACATAATTATAAATATAACTAAAAAATAATCAAAATAAAGTTTTGATAAATTTTATTTTGATTATTTAAAAGTTAATTGAATCTTGAAAAATTACAAAACTTCTGAAGCGTTTTCAAGCATGAATTTCTAAAATCAACAATTTGTAAAACTGTTACGAATGGTCTGAAAAAAATGCATAAAAATGGTTTTCAAGAAAAACAAAATTTGAAGACCAGAAACTTTTACGGAATTTTCAATTCAGAAAAATTATCAAGTCATAGGGTCATATGCATCATAGGATCAATAAAAGAAATAGGAAAAAATTTCACATATTTTATTGAAAACTTTTTAAATGTGGCAAAGCTTTTACTTGTTTGCAATAGTTGGATGTGATTGTATGCAATAGCTCAATTTCAACATACATTTATTTATCAATAAAATCGATAATTTTAAAGTACTTTTTACTTGTAAAACCAATCATAACATTTATACCTGAAGTAAAAACAGCAAGTGTAATACTTATAGTTAACTTATAGTTAGTCACATGTTTACTAAATAAATTTATGGTTAATCACATGTTTACTAAATAAATTTATGGTTAATAGCATGTTTACTAAATAAATTTATGGTTAATCCCGTTTACTAAATAAATTTGATTAATCACATGTTTACTAAAAAAATTTGTGGTTAATCACATGTTTACTAAATAAGTTTATGATTAATCACATGTTTACTTAATAAATTTATGGTTAATCACATGTTTACTTAATAAATTTATGGTTAATCACATGTTTACTTAATAAGTTTATGATTAATCACATGTTGGCTAAGTAAATTATTGTGTTGCATACATGTCATACATAATCAAAATAATAGAGATTATAATATGATTTTTAAAATTACATGGTTTACATAAACTATAATTGTTTTGGCTAATAAACATTTTTGTTTAAAAAATTGAGATTAAATATACCTCTTACATCCTTTATTGCAAACCTCTAAATTTTTAGCATAAAAGTTTTCAAATGATTTTTTTTATTGTAAAGTTTGTAGTTATTCATATTTTAATTTTTGTAAATAATTACAGGGAATTGCTGCTGTTTTTGGCAATTTGAGAAAAATTGATATCAAGTTGAAAAGTAAGAAATGTTTTTATTCTTAATTTTGCTTCCTAACCACCTAAGATGCATAAACTTTATGAAGACTTTTTCAGTAATATCATTACTTTTTATTTTTTCTTCTAATAAAATTAGTAATTTTTGCATGCAACTATAATTTTGGTCATTGCATACAACTGCAACCTTGGTTTATTTCACAGGCTTTCTTCTTATATTGCTGAGCGTATTTATTTAATAGACTTATCTTCATTTGTTGATGGACATTTATAAAAAATGTTGGTACACTATAAAGCAAGTAGATACACTCTATAGCATGTGGATACACATGTTATACAGTGATTAAATCCAATTATTTTGCTTTTTTTTCTAATGGTAAAAGAGTCCGCTATAACCTCAAAACATCTTTATCACATTTCTTTTCTCAATGATTTTAAAGTTTTTTTTAGGTTTATGTAAGGCGCTTACTGGTGTAGCATTACACAGCCTTGCTTCTGTAAATAGTAATGAAAGTTTATTTCATTAAAAAAGTTAATGGTTAAATGGCTGCAATGTGCTGGAATACAACGCATACTGATGTTTAGCTTTTTCACATCCTTTATTACAACAATATTTAAATGACTGCGATGTCTGTCAAAAATCAATAAATTTTTTTTGGTAATCAGTTCTGGTTAAAATGACACAAAAAAGTAAAACACTCTTCCTTAGTAATATATCCTTTTGTAGTCATATGAAAAATATCTCCAGTGGGTAAATTATCCCCATACTCATGTTTCAAATTTTTACCTTTATACAAAATCATAGGTGGAATTTGGTTGGTTTCAGTTGCATTTGTACATGCAACTACAGTAAAAATTTCTCCTTTATTGACATGATCAGCTGTATGTACTTATTTTGCTCCATTTTGTGCCAAAACTACATGAGTGCCAGTAAGTGAATTGCAATCCAGATTTTGTTGATGTTGTAAATTAATTAAGGATGGTCTGCCAAATTTAATTTGTTGTAGACTTTACCCAAAAGATTGTAAGAATTATTACAGTTTCCGCAATGAATCACATTAACCTACCATAATTCTAACTTTCACATATTTTAGGAGCAATATGCTCCTAAAATGATGGCGCCTGAGAAATCTTGCAAGCTGATTTTTTTCTAAAATTATTATTTTTTATTAATAAACTTATTCTAATTTGATTATTTTATTTAGATTTTTGATTTTGATTTTAATTAATATTTTTTAAATTTAAATTTAAATGAAAAATTAAAAATAAATAAAAAAGTGTTAGCAATCTTGAAACAATTTTGCAGATTTTTTTGAACATAAATTTCATATTTTCTAAATTGTTCTTTTGTTAAGCTAAATCCTATTTTTTGAAAACAAAATATTCTTTATTTCAACTGTTTAACTTTCAATCTAGTTTATGCTTTAAATTGATTTTGAATTACGCTTTAAATTGATTTTGAATTACGCTTTGAATTGATTTTGAATTACGCTTTGTGTTCTCATTCATTTGTTATCTCTCATGTCCTTTTTTGTGTTATTTGTCTCGCTTTTTTAATTGGTGATTTTCTAATGAATTCACTTTTTGTTATGGCATTTATGAAGAAGCCATCCACCGTTGCTAGCTTTGACACAATTTTCTTAATAGCCTGCTGTTTAACAGATATGATTTTTTTTTTTTTTTTTTTTTTTTTTTTTTTTGCACATTTACAATTTCCAATCCAGTGTCTTCATGTGATGCTTCATATTTAAATCCATTCCTTTTTGTGCATTTTTTAAATGACAAGGAGCCCGCTTGTAGAAAATCCTTTGCACATTATTTTTATACCGCACTTGGCGAATTCATTAAAAAAAAGATTTTTCTACACAAAAATATTGCTATGCTTTTGATCAACTTACTATCAACATGGTGTAATTATTATGAATCATAAAATAACTAAATGAATAATAAATTAGATGCAACACATTATCAACAAAAAAATATATTGTTAAAAAGAATTCTAGTATAGTATAAGTTTAGACACCTATGGTTACAGTTATTTTAATACCTTAGTTACAGTTATTTTAATACCTTAGTTACAGTTATTTTAATCCTGAGAATATTTAAATCTCCAATAATACAATACAGCAAAATATTTAATTTTGCAGTTATTCGAAATTATAAAAGCAAAACATACAGCTTTCATCGCCTAAAATCAAGAAATGCTATTTTACTCTTATTTTATAATAACAAGATAAAAGAAGACATTGCATTTTCTTCAATTTAAAATGTAAAAAAACTTAGTATTATTTAAGATGAAATATATATGCCGGTAAATATTAGCCATATCCTGGGATATCCTGCTTTCACCCCTAAGATCCCTACATTTTATACTGCGCTAAATAAACAGTAAAATTTGGTTGTGGAAGCATTATGGTGTGGGAAAAATTTCATCATTGATGTTAGTCCTATTCACTTAATAACAGATACTATGACAGCTGGTATATATGCTAATTACTTGAAGAAGTATGCCTAAAGTAGTGCGTCTGTATGCCAAGGATAACATGCTGTTGCTTTTGATATTTCAGCAGATTAATAAAATAATAAGCATAAGGCTTTTTTTGCAAAAAGATAGTTACAATATAAAAAATTTAGCAAAATTGCTACAGAAGACCTGTGAGAGTTTGTAAAAACATAATGGTATGATATTCTGTTATTAGCATGCTAAAATCTGGTTAGCAGCATGTCCAAAAAAAGAAAAATTAGTGTTATTAAAATAAAGAACTTGCAATATATATATATATATATATATATATATATATATATATATATATATATATATATATATATATATATATATATATATTTAGAGAGAGAGAGAGAGAGAAACTTTTAAATGTGAAATAATTTGTCTGAACCAAGAAATTACAATGTTTTACAAACGCTTTCATAAATGCAATCAGACTTTAAGATCATCACGGTTCACATTTTATCGTAAACGCTATCATAGTTCTCAATCTATTGCTATTAGACGTTAACTTAATTTTCCGCTTGCTTATTGTTTTTAAAATTTTATTATTTTTCAGCAATAGAGCTTGCCACTCGGGCAATGTTTCAACAACTTGAAGAAGAAAAAAGCTCTGAAAAAAAAGTTGAAAAGGTACGACTTTTAAATTGCAATAGTAGATTTAACTACTGGATTAGTTTAACTGATATTAATTTAAATAGTGGCATTGGTAAATAAGTTTTTCTTTATTTTCCTTTTAAGGAAGTAAGCAAGATGAAGTCTTCAATCTCGCGTTCGAGTAAGTTTTAGTTGTTGTTTTTTTCTCTTTCTTTTATTTTCCTATTTTTTTCTCATCTTTTTTATAAAACCTGTTTAGGGTATCATTAAAATGTTCGGGAATTAATAAATATTTATCATTAAAATCTTTAGTGATACTTAAGTCATTTTTTTCAATAGAATCATTTAAGTGGCGCGAGCTGAAGAAAAATGTCCGTAATAAAAGCAGTTCTCAACCTTGGTCGGATGAAAAATGCTCTGAAACTCATAATTCTAGTAGTGATTCAGACTCCTAGCATTTTGAAAAACGTTTTTAAACGTTGGCGATAAATTGATGACGAGCGATTATTGACGGCTTTTCTCAATTATAATCTTAGAAATTAATGGCCACGTCATCGAAAGATCTTTTTAAAAAGATTCAATAAACGACTATCATTTTTTGTCAATAGTTTTTTTATATTAAGAATTTTGTTGTTATCACAAAGCTTTTGGACAGATAATCATTTTTTTTTTTTTTATTTATTTTTTTTGAAATTTCAGTGAAAACGGAATATTAGTTATATATTTCTGGTTTGTCAGAAATAACATTTTGTGTGTTTAAATGTACATAATTTAGCATAATTTATAAAATATAGCATAGTTTTTAAATTTAATTTATTATGACTTCTATTCATTTGAAATAATTTTTGATATAGAATAGAAAATGCAAATGAAAATCAAAAAATAAATTATAATTTGTCTTGAACATAATAAGCAGATATACCTTTGCAACACTTGAAACAAAATGAAAGATATTTTTAGCTGCCCAACTGGTCATACTGAGGACTAGAGAAAAATATATTGAACAAATCAAACTAAAAACTTGATGAATTTGTTCAAGATATTTCTTTGATCAAAATTTGATAAAGGTAAAAATTATCAAAAGTTTGGATCAATAAAACTAAATTTATTAGATAATATATGTTTTATTTTCTTAATTTAATAAAACAATTAAAGTTGTTTTATTTTTCATTTAAGACAGAGCGGGGGGGGGGGGGGGGAACACAACAAAGTTGTCGATAAACTAATCATAGCTAACACTGTATTTTATTGATTTCCTAAAATTCATACTAAAAATAAGCTACTACAACCAAAGTTGGTTGCTACGACAACCAAAGTAACACAACTCTAGAGCAGCAAATGTTTCATGTTTTGCATGGTGGGGCAAAACGAGATGGTTAAAAAGCAAGTTATTCGATGATTGTAAAGCTTCAAAAAAGCAAAAATACAAGTTATTTATTATTTAAACCTGTTTAGACATAATTTTCTTAGATAAAAATAACATACCCATATAAACTACACGCCCATACACCCCAAAAAGCAATAACAATTAATAATGAGAATTTTTGGTGTTTTACTATTAAATGCTTTTAAACAAACTTAAGATTTGAAAACAAAGATGAAATTGGTAAAATATTATTAACTAGTCAATATTATTAAACTTAAGGTTAAGCAAAATATATAAGATCTAAAAAATATAATTATAGGTCATATAAATCACATAAATGTTATCCTGAAATTAATTTGAAAGAGCAACAACTTTGATGACCACAAAATCTACAGATATTACATCTAAACCAATCGAAATCTACAGATACTGCATCTAAACTAATCATCTTTGTTTCTAGCATCATTCCACCACAAACCACACACGTAACATTTTCTGGTAAGACGTTACCATCGTGAATGGGAGGACTTTTAACAGCTACTTTTTTTTTTTGAAAGAGACTAGAGGCAACTTCTTTTTATTTATTTTTGAGTTTTTTGAACAACTTTTCAAGGGATTCTTCAATTCTTTTCTTATAAGAAGAACTGATGTTTTCATACTCCGCTGATTCTTATGGTATTCATATGAAAACAATATCATTAAATGAGACATTAAGAACTATGGTATTTTTTACTGTAATATTGTATCCAGGAGTTATGCAACATTACTATTACTCTCTAAAGTTGAATTTGAAGTTGAATTCATTATTGCATGCAATAAATTCACTCTCAGGAATAATATTAGCATTTATAGGCCAAATACCTTGGCCTTTAAATATCTTCAAATACCAGGCATTTTCAAAGCCTGCAGCTGCAAATGAATGTATTTCAGTTTTCATATAGACATCGCAAAATAAATTCCCTAAGTTATCTGTGGTTTTTCTTCTACCTTGATGATTTCTACCTTGATGATGCAGCTTGTTCATTCATAACAAACAAGCTGCATCAAATTCAGATTTAATGGTTTATAAAAACTTACATTCAGAAGTTAAAATTTATGTGTTGTGTTGCGGAGGGATTAATAAAATAAACAAACTATTATCACGTGCAAAGTCAATTAACATCAAATTTTTACCAGCAAGTTTAGTTATCTTATTAAAAACTGAACTTTGTTCCTTTCACAAAATTCATATACAATAGCATGTATATCTTTATTGATAATCAATAAAATGACTTTTTCATTGACTTAATATAAAACAAAAGATTCTGTTCAGTTTCTATTGATAAAACTTGTTTGAAAAAACCAACCTTATTGAAAAAATATGATGAACTACTGTTCATATCTAAATCAGCTGGTTTATTGGCAATACGTCAATGTAAAGCAGAATTAGATATGCCGTATTTATCAGCAGCTTTTTTCATACCAAGATATTTTTGGCTCACAGCTAAAACTGCATTTTTCATAGGGTTTTCATCCCATTTTAGACGATTGATTTTTCTTATATAAGTTCTAATCATTTTTTTTTTTTTTACATATTTTTTTTAAACCAGATTCTAAAAAAGAATAAAAAATATTGTCTGAAAAAAATAAACCTTTTATAAATAAAGCAAATTACCAGTAGTTTAATATTTTGTCGTTGAATCGCTTGAGAAAATACGCAAATTTTGAATTTCGCAAACTTACTGATGTATTTTGATACTTTAAATGCATTTTGATATTTCTAAAATTAAACTTTTTTCGAAAAATAAAACCTGTAAACAATTTCTGTCTGTAAGTTCAAGTACCAGTGAAACGAACAATAGAAAAGAAGAAGCATTCAGCAGGCTTGCAATTTTTTTTTTTAATAATCTGAATAATTTTGTTGTTTTTATTTAGTTGAATGACGAAATTATTTATACAAAAGGTTGGCTCTTCAACTTTTATGTTAAAGTTGTTATTTCGTTGTTAACATTTTTTTACTTCCTTTGTTAACTGTCGTTAACGAAGCAACTAAAAAAATGCACATAATGACAACAGATTTATCTTTAGAACTGTTAGCAAAATTTTTGGTTTGGATACAAAAAAACCAAGTGAAAATGATACTGGAAAGGTACACTTTTTTATATCTAAATATCATTGCAGCTTTATAGCCTTCATTTTTGTTTATGTGTATTTCATCTGTGTTGCTAATGATATCGCCAGTTTTTATAATTTTATGTTGTTAAGTAAAGCATCATTACGTTTCAAGCTATAATAGAGCTTTGATTAATAATTTTATCCATATAAATAAATAACAACTCTCAAGGTGTATTAGCTGAATTATCTTTTCGTTTTAATAGTCTTTAGTCAATAACGGATTTTTAAATTGTTATGAGTCTACAACACTTAATTTCAGCGAAATTCAATTAAAAAGTCACGTCGTAGAAGAAAGAAAAATATCAATATCTGCTTTCAATAACTTGGCTTTCGTAGCATATTTGAGAGGTGCAAATGTTTAGCTTGGTTTAAGTAATACATAATAAAATACATCGTTGTACAGTCATTTTGATGGTCGTAAATTTCTTTGGCACACTCATTTTTATAGATTTTTAGACTGTTTACTCCTGTCCCAATCTAACCTAGTGAGATTAAAAGAAAAGGACCGCGCTAGAAACATGAGGGGGTTTAAAAGAAACAGAGCTCGCTCGAGAAACAGAAAAGAAAGAAAAAGATGAAAAAATATTCTGTTGAACAATACTGTTGTTTTATTTATAAATTATTTTCCTGTTTAAACATATGAAAAATGTAGAAAGTGCTTCTTCATTTATATTGACATCTAAAAGAGGTTTTTTTTCTCGACATAGGAATGAGCTTTTTGTCATACTTTGTATGAAGGGCTATTATCATTTTCATTTGATAGAAACAGCTTTTCATATATGAAAAGTAGGATTACTATAGTGTATAGGATACTATAGTATACTAAAACGTATAACAAAAAAGTCGTTCCAACCCCGAGAAAAAACACTTTTTTAGAAGTCCATATTTGATAAACAAAGACGTTTTAAAGACGCATTTTTTATATTTTTTCATGATAAGATAAAGACAAAAAAAGACACCTTTTCAATGTCGAAAAATGTCTTTTAGATTTGCATAATCAATTAAAAAAAGACGTCTTAAATACATCGTAAATAAGACTTTTAAAGACGTCTTTTCGACGTCTTTTTTCCTACTGGGTAGGGCGTCCGTCAAAGCCGCAAACCGATTTATTTATAAGCGGTTTGCGGCTTTGACGGCTTTTAAGCGTTTAATGAAATATAAAATTTTCACGTTTTTGGACGTAAAGAATACACTTATAATTAGAGTTTGATAAGAGAACCTACCGTTTCAGAATACCTTTAAATTAATTGCAGTGTTTCTGGTATTAGAAAAGGATTTGCATGCCCTTATTGTAATAGTTTATCTTTAAACAAACATTGTAACAATCGAAATTTGGTTCAAAACTAATCAATCAAAGTTGAATAAACTAAAAGATCTTTCTTCCATACACTTTCCGAAAATCATCTGCTGCCAAGTAACATGTCTCTCTTAATTATAATATTCTTATAAAATGAAAAACAACTATTTATGTTTAAGCCATATTCACTGATAAAAATTTCACTTAGAAAAATGTAAAAACCTGCTTAAAAATAGAAGCCTTATGCAAAACGAAAATAATTGTAAGAAATAAAATAATAGTTATTACAAGAATAACCGTGGCGCAGTGGTTAAAGTTCTTGCATCACCATCACCATCAATTAATACTAAAGTAATTTTAACAAAAATTAATTGTGAACTTAAAAATAAACTACATCCACTCTAATTCTAACCACCAAGAATAATAAAAACAATCCCTTGCAATATTGAACAAAGATATCTTCCATGCCAATTAATTAAATATTCTTCAAAAAGACTATTCTACCGTATGAAGAAGCTTTAAAAAAATTGGGATACAAATCAAACCTTACCTACCAACCACAATTAATCTCAAGTCAAAATCAACAAAAAAAGCATCGTAAACGAAATATTATTTGGTATAACCCTCCGTTCAGCTTAAACGTCAACACAAAAATAGGAAACCGCTTTCTAGCCCATGTTAACTTACATTTTCCAGCCGGCCACAACCTACATAAAACATTCAATCGAAAATTATATTAAGATCAGCTACAGTTGCATGCCTAATCTAAAACCATAAATTTGCATAATTTCAAAATTTTGCACAACAAAAATTAATTAAAAACCATTGTAGGTGCGTAGATAAAGCATTTTGCCCTTTGAACAATCAATGTTTCTTCAAAAGAACTTAAAAGAGTGTTCAATGTTTCTTCAAAAGATCTCAAAAGAGTGTTCAATGTTTCTTCAAAAGATCTCAAAAGAGTGTTCAATGTTTCTTCAAAAGATCTCAAAA